CTAAAAGTTGTATCGGCACATCCACAGCAATCACTTTGGAGTGTGTTGGCTTTAAGTACTTCAACGCAACTGGATCGTCAAACTAAGGGAATGGAACTACTCGCAAAATTGCCAAGCATGTCTGCGAAGGCCGATCACAATTCCATAGACATCAAGGCTCTAATCAGAAACGGACAAGCTCTTACTGCTGAAATTTTAAGGCTTTGCGAAGCTGGAGATTTCAAAGAATCTAGGGTATTCAGATCCAGTTTATCTAAAGATCTACAGTTTAAACAGAAGGTCTTACCAAGTGCCCTTGCTTGCCCAGTGGAAGCCGCTTTGACAGCGAGCCTACCGACTCTCACCGATAAGGTGGTAACACACAAAGCTTTCTCTCGTGATGTCATCACAATTAACTCTTTTGAAGATGACGTGTTGGTCTTAAATTCTTTGGCGAAACCCAAGCGAGTGAGAGCTCTGGCCTCGAATGGACAACACTATGGTCTCCTTTTCAAACCGAAGGATGACCTTCGTATGGATCAGCGTCTTCAAGAATTCAATGGCATGATGAATAGGTCTCTGAAGCGTGATGCGGAATCAAGTAGACGCCAATTGTATGTCAAGACATATGCTGTGACACCTTTGAATGAGGAATGTGGGATCATAGAATGGATAGAAGGACTTCAAACACTTCGCAAAATACTTACGGATTTATACGGAGCGCAGGGGAAACGAATCAATTATGCGGAACTTGGTATGTATTGCGAGGAAGCAATGAAGAGCGAGAAGCAACTCCCATTCTTCACGGAAAAGGTTCTTGGCGAATTTAAACCTGTATTTCACAAATGGTTTGTCAAGCAATTTCCCGAGCCCTCGGCCTGGTTTTCTGCTAGACTTCGCTATACTCGGTCATGTGCTGTTATGTCTATGGTAGGTACAATTCTAGGTCTAGGAGATCGCCATACAGAAAATATACTTTTTGAGGAAGGAAACGGAGGAACCTTTCACGTAGATTTCAATTGTCTCTTTGAGAAGGGTAAAACCTTTGCAAAGCCAGAACAAGTTCCTTTCCGCTTAACTCATAACATGGTCGACGCAATGGGTATGTACGGCTACGAAGGTCCCTTCCGCAAATCCTCGGAACTTACAATAAAGCTACTACGCCAGCACGAAGAAACTCTGATGACAATTCTTGAAGCTTTCATCTATGATCCCACACTCGATCTCATGAAAAAAGTCGATAAGAAGAAGAGAGAGATAGCAAATGAAGGGATGCTGAGTGCGCAAAAGGTTTTAGATGTTCTTCAGCGAAAGGTGAAGGGACTGTTACCTGGGGAAAGTGTGCCGCTTAGTGTGGAGGGCTACGTTGACGAGTTGATTAAACAAGCCACAGATCCGAGAAGACTGACGGCTATGTATATTGGGTGGTCTGCGTTCTTTTAAGGCTGGGGAGATTATAATGGATGTAGATGGTATGGAGCCACGACCTCTTATGATGGATTAATATACAATAGCTATCGAATCATCTCATGTGGTTACAACCTAGCACAAATTCTGCACATATCGAGCGCGGTTATAATGATAGTGAGGAGTAACTGATATTTGTTTTGTTACACTATGGACTCCGTGTTCTCTCTCAGGGTATCCAATATTCCGCACTGCAGTCCAACAGGTTTAATGGTCTAAAAGCAACTAGAAATATGAAAACAGTTCAATATTCCAATCAAATTCAATACATAATTTGAAAACTCTAATTGGTTTAGGAAATTTAATAGACTGCAGTCCGGATTATTGAACACTCTGTGAATCTTTCTACCGATCTGCTGCTATTACATGAATTCCTCCATCACATTATACAGAACTTTCAAACTACAGATTGTGACCTGAATTTAAGATACTGGCACGGGAATTTGAAACAATCTTTACGACTCTGGGGTAGGTAGTAGAGCGCTCAGCACTTCATAAAACAATGCCTACTGCTGATCGGTGTTAAACTCGAATTCGATGTGAATACTGCACATCCGATTGGCTAGTCTTGGCTGATCTACGCATTGGTTACTTCAGCTGATAATGCATGTCATCAATCAGTCAATTTAGATCACTACTCGGACTCCCGATCAATCGATCGATGTCCGAAGATTTTCTTTTTCTGATAAGTAGTTTTACCACTCACAGTCTTCAGTAAAAATTTCTACTAACCCCAAGACGGAATAGAATCAATTGGGATTCAATGACAACTCATTCTCATCTGTTACTGTCAGAGTATTCCTATACTAGTCTGAGTTACTTTCGCTGAATACGAAATCAACCAAGGCATCTCGCACGAATTGTCATACAATGGCTTTCAGCTTATCAGCCGTGCTGCATACATGAAACGTGTAAGCGCGAGTCAATTTGATGATGCATAAAGGACGACATGTCGTGAGTTACTTGATATTATCACCACCTCAAAAAAATCTACAATTGACTAAATTATGGAAATCATAACTGTAGGCGCAGGAATCGCTGGTCTCGGTGCTGGGATTGCTCTAAGGAGAGGTGGACATAAAGTTACTGTTCGTTTTCCATTCATTGCATTATTTTCGACGGCCTTGTTATATACTATCTGATACCCAAAAATTAGAAAGACTAACATGACCCAAGATACTTGAACAATCTTCCCTTCTCCACGAAACAGGCGCCGCTATAACAGTGGCACCAAATGCGTCACTCATACTTAAATCATGGGGTTTCTCGCCCGCGAAATCGAAACTGGTAGCTCTCAGTGACGCAAGTATTTGGGATGGTATGGCCATGAATGTTCTGGTTGATGGTTATTATGGGAATGCTGAGGAGAAGTATGGGATCCCGCTGTATGCGGCTCATCGGGTTGATTTACATAGTCAGTTGAGAGAAATAGCGACGAAGAAAGATGGAGAGGGGATTCCGGTTGAGTTGATGGTTAGGGCGAAGATAATTGGTTATGTGAGTATTGTTGATAATGCGATTTGTTTTTAGTCTCGGGTTTTAATGAACGCTTTTATTACAGGATGCTATGGATGGGAAAGTTACTCTTGAAGATGGAAAAATCTTACAAGCAGATCTCATCGTCGCAGCAGATGGGGTGCACTCAACAGCTGTGGACCACGTGCTTGGTGCGAATAAAGTTCAAGCAGGTGATACTGGATGGTCTTGTATGCGATGGCTAGTGCCCACAGAAGACCTATTATCAGATCCCGAGACGGCTGATCTGGTCGAAAATTCTGTTCAGAGATTCTTCGCACCAGCTTCCGGTGTGGGCGGCTTCGTATGGTATCCTTGTAGAGAGTAAGAATCTTGTGGACATTCTCTATGATATTTTTGGGCTGATCAAATCGCAAATTAGCAACGAGGTGCAGAACTTCTTGTACTTGTCAAAGGCATTTGATAGTTCCCATGCTACAGAAAGTATAAATCCCGCATGAATCTTTTTGTATGACGCTGAAAGTTGGTATTAGGTTTCAGAGCGTCTGTAGAACCAAGTGTTCCGATGAAATATGCGAAGCCTGAGTTTAGTCCCGCTTTGCAAGCCGTGATCGGGTAAGTCTGCTTTCAGATGGTTATATGTATATTGAGTAGTTTCTCACAAACAATGAAGGAAGGCACAAGATGTTAAATTCTGGAAATTGATCGCTCGCGAACCAATCCCGACATGGCACAAGGACAGACTCGTCCTGATAGGTGATGCTGCTCATCCTATGCTTCCATGTAAGATTTAAATCGTTACAACCCCGTTTCCTCCTACTCTTTCTAACATCCAACATTAGTCCAAGCACAAGGGGGCTGCCAAGCCATCGAAGATGCGGGCGCACTCGGAATATTATTGAATCAGGTAGATCCCAACGACAAAGTAACACTGGAGAAGCGACTCCAACTATATGAAAGGGTTAGGAAAAATAGAGGCTCGTCTCTACAGATCCTTTCGAACCATAGTCCACCTGCATCGCAGGCTATTCGTGATGAGGCTGCTAAGTATCTTCCGGATGGCAAAACACTTAACACCACGGATGATATGAATGATTATTTGTTTTCGTTCGATGTTACTAGAGAGTGCGAGATACTTCTGGCAGAAGATTCTATTGATGGTGGTGTTTGAACTCAGCTTTTGAGGGAATAAAGTTGATGATGTTAAGGAATCTTTACCAAACTTCACGATTTGCACAAGCAATGGCAATATACCATTGAATCATCCCGCTCATGTCATATCTTGATAGTATAGAACTGTGACTGATGCGATATTACTTAGACATGCTTCGAGCCTTAAAATTAGTTAAGCAGAGAATTGCCGCATGATGCCTTCGCTTAGTATCGGGCGAACAGAGGACGAATATCACCCGCACCCCGAGGCCTAAGCGAAGAATGATCCTTCACATCGACTAAAGAAGCGACCTGCATTCATGAACAAACACACTCCTACATTATTTTTGTAAGTTCTTGCTTTAGCCAAGAACAACTATGCCGAAAACTTTAGCAAGCCCAACTTTAAATGCCTCGCTGACCAAATCAAGGTGTACTTTAAACACTCTTCTATTGGGTTAGAAAATAACGTAGATAGGCCGATTATTGGCAGCATCGTGTATGATCGAAATGCTTGGTATTGAATGCTACCTCGCTTACACTCTTAAAAGGCAGCTGCAGAGGGTACAGCTATTGAAGGGTAATATGAATAAGTCGATCATTGAGAATTTTGAGCATGATCGAAACGCCTCGTATCGAATATCACATCGCTTAAATTCCAAAGGAAAGCTGAAAAGATGCAGCTGCCAGAATTTATTGTAGATTGGTCGATTTTTGAGCCTTGAAAGCGGGGTACAGATGCTTAGTATTGGATGCGGCGTTTTCAAAAGCAGTTGAAGAGGATGCGAGTCCGTGGGATACCGAGAGATTTGTCAATGTTGACGAGTATAGTAAGAGCGCATCCTGCCTCGATATATCGATCATCATTTCAACAATTCAAAGACTCACTTCATATCCACTAGTCCAACATTACTAGGGGCTCCAACATGACAACTACTACTATCGCCGAATTAGTGAGTCTCCTCACGCCACCACCACGGCCTTCCGCTCCAATTCCTTACCAAATTACCAGCGGTACCGTGGCATTGTTTCAAGGAGCTGCTTGGAACTCTGTGAGGACCGATCTGATTATCGACGACTATATTCCCAATCAGCGTCATGTAGTTCCGGCCTCTCAATATGATCAAACGTCTTGGATTTTGCATAATTTGCCACTCGGTACTGTCATGACATTCCTTGCTGCCATGAAAACAAGTGGTCCAATCGCAGATCAAAGTGATGCGTTTACATGTATTGATTTGGTTGGAACTGGGAAGACCGAAGCAGTTAATCTTATCCCGACCGGCATAAACGACCAAATTTCGATGTTTTTCTGGAGAACAGTTGATCTTAATATGGGAGCCATTGAGTTATTTGACGCTTTCGATTTTACTGGTAGATGTTCAACCATATTTCTCAGTGAGTGGCCTGCCGATACTGTTCACTCGATTATGCGCTGGCAGTTGCAAGACGCCATTAGTTCAATTCGATGGAGGACATTAAAAGATCGGCAAACGGCTGTGCTGTTTGATGGAGCAGATGGTACTGGGACGGCATATAGCAATATCAAAGGCTGGGGTACCACTAAAGAAGTTGCCAGACTTACGGATGTTCGCCTAAATGATGCAATAAGCTCTTTCAAATGGCAGAGCATCAACCCCATGAAAGAAATCATCGAGCCTTTCAGAATCATGGCTTCGAACTCATCAGATGAGGGAGGACTCACTTCTGAGATCATTGGGACAAATAGTAGCACCGAACCACAACCGGTCACAGTGACTCTGAATAACTCCACTGCTCAGTCTGTTACTATCGAGACCTCCGATCAACATGTCGCCGGCATCTCGACATCCTTCACCCAGACAGCTACTGCAGGTGTTGAAGGGGTAGCTTCCACTTCGACCCAATGGACCGTGGCAGTCAATTACTCCTATACAAGAACTGATACCACATCTAAAACTCAGACTAAAACAGTTGATCTCACGATTTCGCAGACCGTTAATGCGCCGCCGATGAGTAGCTATGTCGCTACCTTGCTGGTGACTATTGGGCAATTACCTCCCACGGAATATTTCACTACTGCTCAGCGTTGGTATAAGGACCCTGTTGCTGGATCTCAAGCAGATCCTCAGAATAATGGCTGGTATAAGAGGGTTGAGGATGTGAGGCTTAGCCTTACAGGTAGTTTGGCATGCAGAACTCTGGTAAATATCAAAGCCACACCGCTTTGAAACTTTCTGATCCAATCATCTTGAGTTCATCATTTATCTTTTGCTTGATTACGTTTGTGGTCTCAATGGGTCGAGGTTTTGAAGTATTTGGGCGAGTAATCTTCGTATGTAGCCTCTTCGTCGGAGAAAAAACAGGCCACAATTGACCACTAGCAAAGCTCTTCAACAATGCAATGTTCCATTCCAATTCAAAAAATTAAATGTTTAAATGGCTTTCTAAAATGAATGTTATTCAATGCTTCAACAAGTTTCGTGATTTTATTATCGGTTGATTTGTTATAGAATTTATTGGGATGATCAAGTTTGGCCTCTGTTTTCTACGTAACCTTATCGCCAAGGAGGGTGGGATTTTGCGATGGGCGTAGCTTACATAATCGCATTGAATCCAAAGTACCAGAGTGCCTGTACAGTGAAAAGATGAAGATGTCAATACAAATCCAATACAATTGAAGAGTATTCTCCAACCTGCGAAGGGTCTGAGAACAGAAGCTCCTCTTTTCCAGAAATAACCATTCTTTACATTCACATGTCAATTGTCGCCCGTTTCCTACTCGCCAGACATCGTTTTGAGGTTCATTGATCCAAGCCACGTCTCAAAAAGAAAAGCCTCAAATCTAAATCTAGCTGGAGCCCATGCACAGTATTGGAGGTTGCTTAGGACCCCTTTCCTAGTGTTCTATAGGTCTTGAAACAACGGCGTGTGTTGATTCGAACGGCAGACAGGTTGACAATAATGAGAATTTCAACTTTTATCAGAATGCTGCCTTTCTTGGCGATAATACCACACTGTGGCGGGAAGTCATAGAGATGATTGTTGGACGAACATTCAAGAGGCAAATCAACTCGTAACAATATCGTGAAAGTTTTCACGATCCATCGAGCTATGACTGTACATACGAGTGTATGGGGCCATTCGTAACCTCAGCGGGAGATGAACATCCGCATTACTCAACCGCGTATGTCTTGCAAAGTCTGATGAAGAGCCAAGCCTCATTTCTTATTTCTCATACAAGACCCTTTGCATTCATCAACTCTAATGCCTTGATCGTACAATGGTCCAGAATCAGGGTAAAACAAAACATATCAAACTCGCACGGATGATCTGATGAAGCTCCCGGATTCAGTGATCTGTGCGTTATCTGCCGTGGATGCTTCTCTTAAACAAGCTTTTCTTTCCGTTGTTGCCTATGGGGAATATCATATAAGTATTGTTTCTTGAGATCCTGTACTTTGTTGTGGGTTGAACTCGAATTTTTCAATTGTTGTATCCTAGGGTTTGTCGTTCATCGGGTAATTATCATGTCATCACACGAAAGGTAGGTGAACTCCCTGATGTCTTCGATGAAAAACAAGAAATCACGAGGTGCTTCTTTGGCTAATCAGAGAATCGAACAGGCATCTTTCATCGAGTTCCGTCTCTAGTCAAACCCCATTGAAGAAGACTTATAGTCATGGATCGATATATCAAGGAAACGAAGAATCTCAACCAAAGTTAAAGTTGCTTGAAAATCCTCTGGCTCACAATAGAAGAAAATATTCGGTAACCCCTCCAGTTCCGAGTCCTATACATGAGATCTCTGGTCCTATCAATATCGCCCGAAAACAATCTTACGATGAATCGATCGAGAACCAATATGATGACAGGAAAGTCGATCCATTTTCAAAAGATGGTGCCGAGGAAGAAATGTTCGAAACCCCCGAGTTTCGAAGATATGAGGAGACTACGAACATGGAACTTTTCTATGATCTCTTTTTCGTTGCGAATTTGACGACGTTCAACGATGTGCATGATGTCAATGAGGTTGATGCACTCAAGTCATATGCCGGATTCTTCTGTATCCTTTGGTTCTTGTGGTTACAAGTCAGTCTTTTTGATGTTAGGTTTGTTACGGATAGTATATTGGAGAGAATAGGAAAAGCATGTCAATTTGGTGTAATGATTGGATTGGCAATTGTAGGACCGGACTTTAATTCATCGGACCAAAAGCCTGGTGCTTTTCGTTCACTGGCAATCATCTTGATGTTTTCGCGACTGGTTTTGAGCTTTCAATATTCTGTTATATTGGTATGTTTCTCGTGTTCTTCGGGAGAAATCTTTCATTACTAATTAATATGCAGTATCACGTTTGGTATTATAAAAATTCAAAATTACCACTCTTTCTTGTTGTTGTCGCTAATGTCATAGCTGCACTTGTATATTTTGGCACTTTTTTGTATGTTTTCCGGTATTCAAATTGGCATTAAGCTAATGATTTCAAGTGGATTCTCGGAAGAAACATCTAAGACTGGCAAAGTGTTCATTGTTTGGTATGTCACAGCTGTCTTAGAGACTGCCGTCAACATTGCTATATCGTCGAAGTGGAAAGTCTTGAGCTTTAGAGGATCTCATCTTGTCCAAAGAATGACTCTACTCACTTTGATTATTTGTGAGTAAACGATTTTGAGGTCCAGACGAGTCGTCACTAATTCCGTTGTAGTGGGTGAAGGTATAATTGGAGTTAGCAAAAGTATTGCAGATGTAGGTCTCTCGAACTTCTTGATTCTTGGCTACTCAATATTGACTATCTATAGATTGCAGAACAAGAGGAGAAATGGACCGCAGCTCTCATTCTCACCATTGTATCAGCTGTTGGAATAATTGTATGTATTGATTTCTCACTCATTTGGCACAATTACTAACAATACCATTTAGTATTTCCTCTACATGCTTTATTTTGACTGGCTTAACCGATCTCAATTCGGTTCCATACGTCAACAAATATGGGCATTTCTCCATTTTCCATTTCATCTTGCACTAGTATTCCTCGCTGAAGGTGCTGCCCAATTCATCAGATGGCGAAAAGTAGTTGAGGTCATCAAGTAAGCTATACAACCAGTCTATTATTCGCTGCAGACTTTCCGATACTAATATCCCAACAGCCAAGTCAGCAAACAATACGTGAATCAATTCAAGAAAACCCCCGCTGTCGATAGTCTCGATCTCAGAACACGCTTAGCGAACGTCACTCAAAGAATCTTCGAGAAATTCCCCCCAGAATTCACACAAACTTTTACAGATACCCAAAGGGCTTTATTCAATATTGGTAATACGACTCTGGGGTCCACAGAACAATTGGGAAATATCACGACATTATTTTCCACAGTCCAGGATTCTCTATTCGATAATTTCGGAATCGATCCACCGGAAAGTGATAACGCGGTTACGGATCCTAATGAAGAATGGAATGAAAATCTTGGAGTTCTCGCTCTTGTGGTACGCACTCATCAGTTTCCCCCCCCCCCATACTCCTTTTCCCCTTTTACTCCCCCCCTCCACCCCTCCATACCCCCCAACCCCACCCTAACTTTTTATAATCAAAATAGTTCACCTATTTCTTCCTCGCCTCCGGCCTCACCCTCATCCTCATGAACATTCTCCACGCACTCAGTCGACCCCACATGACGCGTGCAGATAAACTTCGCAGCGCGGTCAACTTCATTCTTTCAATCATATTACTCGGACTCGCGGGTATATCGAATACCGATGCGGGATTTGCATTTGCGCAGAGTGCGGGGGTTTTGCCAAGTGTGGCGGGAGTGTATTTTTTTGGTATGTTATTTTTTTATTTTAATTTGTGCTTGTGTTTTGGGGTGGAGTGGATGATGAGATGAGATGATGAGATGATGAGATGAGGAGATGAGGAGATGAGGAGATGAGGAGATGAGGAGATGAGGAGATGAGGAGATGAGGAGATGAGGAGATGAGGAGATGAGGAGATGAGGAGATGAGGAGATGAGGAGATGAGGAGATGAGGAGAAGAAAACGAATTATACTAACTTTCGGTGTGATAGTTATGTTATTAGGATATACGAAATTGCTTTGGTGATATATATATATATATATATATATATATATCAAGAGTTAGTAGATTAATAGGATAGAACCGAGGAGGAAAGAACATAGGATATGGAGATAGCGATAGAGTATAGTAATTTGGTAGAGAGCAATAAATTAATGAAAGAATATCATCTGATATATTGAAACAAGATAAAGAGAGTAATGAATGAATGAATGAATAAATAGCTTTTAATAAAGTTAGCCATTAAAGCTCATTAACTCACTCTACTATAGTATCTATTCATTCGTTTACTGATGAGGATAGAATAATGTTGATATATTGATATGAATCACTTCTCGCAATTTATAATTGTTTTCGAGGTTGGAAAGATTGTATGGTGGGTAAAGGTTAGGTGGTAAAGGTGGTAAAGATTGTATAGAATCTTGTATCTCATTTCTCATACAGACTATAGGTATAGGTATAGGTATATCATCTCATCTCATCAATCTCATTCCAATCTCATCATCAATCTCATATCTCATCCCAATCTCATCAATCTCATCTCATATCTCATCCCAATCTCATCTCATATCCCATCAAACAAAGAAAAAACATCCCATCCATCACCCATCACCCATCATCCACCATTGCAATCCACAAATCCCTTCCAAACAACCAAACAATCAATCAACCAAATCCCAGAAAAACCCCAAAAACGCCCATCCATCCCTCAAAACCCATCCCACAATTCCCGTGATATAGATATATAGATATATAAGAACTCAGCAAACCCAAGCCCACCCACGCAAGCAAGCAATAAACAAATAGGTAACAAAGCGAGTGAAAGCTAACCACGGAGTATATATAAACCAACCACAAACCCACGAGCAAAGAAACCAAACAAGCAAAAAAAAAAAAAAAAAAAAAATAGAAACTCCAAGCCATCCATCCTATCCCAATCCGCCAAGTCCCCCGCATCACCATTCCACAAGCTCATAGCTTCGCGAGCTTCGCTGTCAAAGTGGATCCGCCCTCTCCACTCGCCCCGCCCAACATTCCAGACCGAGTAGACAATCGTGTTCATATAAGCAACACACTGCGCGACATCTCGACTCCCATCTCCCTCTGCTCTCGTTTTCAATTTCCCCTTCTCTCACCATCTCCGCACTCCTCACTTCTCCGCAACAACTCTACACAATTCTCCCAAAACCCCTCTGAATTTCCCTCTCCAGATCTTCCTCTCCGAATGCACTCTCTCATCCTCTCCCTGCCACATCATCTCAAACCTCTCTTTCAGCGTCCCGAAACTTCGATCCGGAAGAACACTAAACTCAACTTCCTCCTCCAAAACTAACTCGCGAACCGGGATGCGCGAAACCATAATCTCAGACATCGCTTCATTTTCCTCATCATCCTCATCGTCATTGTGAGCCGAACGAAGGGCCGAGATAGAAGCATGGATATCACGATCTGATTTTCTCAAAGCCGTGAAAGAAGCTGGAGAATCAAAAGTTGAAGACCGGGCAAGACGTCTAGGCTGCTCATCCTTTGCGTCTACAGATCCGAAATTGAAAGTGGAAGATCTTTCGAATCTCTTAGGACGAGGAGGAAGCGCTGGTGGCAAATCTCTCACTTCATCTCTTACCTCTTCGTGAGATGGAGATTGAGGTTGAGCTTGTGCTTGAGCGTTCATCTCAGCTTCAATCTGCGCCTGCATTTCGCGCTCCATTTCCTGCTCCATTTCACGTTCCATCTCTCGTTCCATTTGCGCTTGAATCTGTGCTTGCAATTGCGCATCTGTGAATTCGACGCGGAGAGAGGAGCTAGGACTTTGATTTGCGGTATCATTGGCGGTGGTGGGGGAGAGATCGAAGGTTTGGGGGTTAGGGAGTGGAGCGACGACGGGAAGGAGGGGAGAGGTAGCGGGGAAAGATTCTGCTTGTGGCTTGCTGACCACTGTAAAATCTTCATTTGAGACAACGGGAGCAGGAGTTGCGGAAACAGGAGTTGCGGAAACAGGATTCTCCACATGAACAAATTTATCATGTGCAGCTTCCACTTCCGGTTCCTCACGAGGAGCTCTCCCAACCAAAGTCTTATTCGCACTTTCCGCGACTTTCTTTCCCCCATTCTCCCGAACATCCTTTACTACAGCCCCCACCAACTTTCTAATCTCTCCACTAGCGCCTTTAGCCTGCTCAGCCAAAACGGCCTTTCCAGCCCTGACATCCCAGATATTGACTGCCCTCTTCCCCTCATGTTTGCGTCTGCGTTCATCAGTACACTTCAACTCATTCCTCAGTTGATATTCCAACTCCGGTAATGTAAATGCTATTTCATGAATGCCTCCACTCTCATCTCCATTCGAAAGCAACGGTTTCGAGTCCGAATGTTGCGAATGTGCTCGTCCATTAATCTGATAAGGTGGTCTCAACCACGCATCCATCAGATTCGTTGCACTATACAGTAAGGAAAAGGTACTTTGTTCCTCTACTTGTTTAAGAACTCCTCTCCTAATCCCCTCTCGGAATTGATTTCTTTCTCCTCTCCTTCCTCTCCCCTGTCCAATTCCCCAATTACTCAAACCCCACTTTGGTGGGTTCTGAATGGGAATATTGAAATCCGTCTCATCGTGTCCAAACACAAGATCGAATTTCGCATTTGGAACGATCCAGAAGACGGTTCGTTGTGTATAACGTGATAGTGGAGAAGATTTCCAATGAAGTGTTAAATCACCCGTCATGGAATCCGGATCCGAAATCTCTCGACCACGGATTTCTTCTCCGATTCCAAAACCCATTCCGATTCCAGTACCGGTTCCCATTCCTTCGAGATCTCGTTCTCGCTCTGTTTCAGAAGATGCATCTTCTGGTTCTTCCGACATTCCTTCCGGTTCTTCAGTCAGAATTGTTGGAATATTTGTAATGGACGGAGTTACAGGATGTGAATTTAGTGCTTCGAAAATACTAGGATTGCCCTCCGTTTGTGTATGCAATATTTGAGGTCTTTGTGGTGTTCTCGGTGGTGTATCAACAACCATCGCCCCAAATGTGGCTCCCGGTCTTGGCGAGAAAGGATTTAGGTTAGCATCTGGAAATAACGGACTAGTTAAATTCGATCTTGAGATGGCTTCTGGTGTCGGTTCCAAGAGAGAGAAAATGGGAGGAGCTTGAGCATTGGAAGGCACGAGAGTAGCAGTTGTGGAAGTTCTTCTGGGTGGGATTCTAGGTGGAAGAGCTGGAGTTGTAGATGTAGAAGGAGGTGTATCTTCTATAGTACTTTCTCTACCTAAAGGCGAAAAGATTCTTCGTGAAAGTGGTTCTGTCCTTGATCTTTGAAGGGGCTTAATTTCAGCAACTGGTGCGGTTTGAGATCTTGCTAGATGCTTTGGCTTAAAAGGGATTTTTGGTTTCGATACAGATTTTGAGCGTGGTTTGGCTTCACGATCGGCATCTGGTTTTAAACCAAGGGAGAAGGCGAATCGGGAAGAAATGTAGTTGTAATCCAGAGATTCATTGTAATAAGCCTGGGTATCGAATTCTGTAAATTCCGGAGTAAGATTGGCGCTGGCTGTAGTTGCAGATTTTGGTGAGGGCATAATTTTGATGGGGAAAGTGTAAGTTGTCTGGGAATTTGTTAACATTTGCATCGGAAATGATAGTTTGGTCGAAGAGTTGATGTTAAAAAGAATTGGTGAACGAGGGGCACCAAACTTACTTTTCTCCTGTCATTCTTTGGTCTCTCAGTCCGTTCATTGGTAGCAGTACCAGTCTGAGGATGATCGGTATCCATCGTACCATAAGCCAAATTATCGTCGTTCCTCATATCGGAAGAATTGGAAAGCTTCGCTTTACCACTCGACTTTCGAAGAACTTTGGAAGAAGAAGGCAGACAGTTGAATATATTACAACAGGACATGAATACCTTTCCGCCTTTCCGCCAAGTTAAAAATAGGTACGAGACCAAAAAGCGGTGTTGATAATGTGATAGTGGCAAAAGGAACCAACTAACCAAGCTGTCCAGCAGCTAGAATAAAACCGAGGGGGCGGGGGGGGGGAAGAGTATCGGTAAGGAAATGCAGGGAAAAAGTTAAGAATATAAAGGCGTAGTGCGTGCAGCCCTTCAATATGTAATAATATTGACGATATATGAACACACTTCTCACACTTGAATATGAAAAATGCCAAAGATATGAAGATATGAAGCTTGAACAATCTGCAAGCACAAGAAACGGAAAGATATGCGGTGAAATATATTCATATTCCCACTTCACAACGATTGAGCTTATCGAGTATCCAAACAAAAGCGGCAGAATTCTAAACAATTCCATTTTTAATAATATCCAACTCCATCTCTTTTCCCATTTTCACATCGGAAAACGAGGCTTGGATTTCATTCGATAAGAATGGGGACGCTTGGAAATGTTCCCATTTTCACCTGACGTGGTTCCTATCATCACCATCCCGCAAATGAAATTCACAAGCAAAAAAAGGACTCTGCAAAGCGAAAGGTAAGCGGATCAACCATCAAAAACTTGCCAGCGAAACTTCTCGCCTCACGATGAAACACGAGAGTCTACTCCGTTAAAAAAGCCTAGAGTGGAGCATCTTCTTACCTACATAACTCGATTATGACATTTGACCGTTTGGGTGGTAAGAGTTGGATGATGTGAATAATAATGAAGAGTCAATGAGGAGTCAATGAGGAGTAAACGAGGAGTCATAATTGGAAAAATCCGGTAAATGGACAAAATTATCCATCGTTTCGAGCAAAGAACCCGCCCAGATGCATGAATTTGCTGTACTTTATGGACTAGTCCTGTACCGTCCTGTACAAAGTATGTTGGAGCTTGATTAGCTGCAGCTGAAGAATCTTCGCTGCAGCTTATTGCTGGCTCGTTAGGTTAGCTCGGTTAGGCTTTGGCTTAATTATGGAGATGGCATCGGATCCCTCAAATAACGGTGAGAGAGGTTGGCTGCGCTGCAAACCTGCGTAATGGTTGCGATACGGATCGCCTGCTCCCCGTACCGTTTGCTTGCCCCTTGTAC